GAGGGGAAAAAGACACACTATTTGACCAATTGATTCGGAAGTGTCGGAGACAAACACAAGCTGACGAATAATTTTTTTATTATTTTTATCTTATACTGTACTATAAATTCTAATCATCAAACAAAAAGAAAAGAAAAAGGAGGGATGGAGAAAAGGAGAACGAAGGAATATATACTGAAGATTAGCCACAAAAGACAAAGAGTGTCTCTTCCATGACAAGATTTAACAATGTCATGTTCTTATTTGGACATTTTTCATGTCACTGGTCAAAAGATTTTTTTTGGGCTCTCCTAAATTAGGTAGATTCGGGGAGAGAGAGATGTAAAGTAGATGTAAATCATTTGACAGCTTAGATTTTTACAGCTTAATATTTTTACTGAATGACAATGCTTTTTTTTTTGTTAAAGACTTAAAGAAGTTAAAAAGAATTTAAAAAGTTTGAGTTATTTATAAAAAAAAATTGTCTATATTTTACCCCAAAAAGTAAAAATTTGTTTATACTATTTCACAAGAAAAATCAATTGTAATAGGTCCCTTCTCAGCTCATGAGTTAAAGTGACTAGGAATACAAGTACTTTCGGTGATCTATTTGTGAGAATGGGGTTTCAATAAGTGAAGGTTGGAACGTTTATGTGCAAAACTTCCTCGAAGGTAGCCAACCAAAACCTACTCAAAAGTAGCAAGAATTGAAGCAATCTCAACGTTGGGTTATCATGGCCGTGGCTGCGGCCGTGGTGATCATTGACTAAAAATGTAAGCTTTAGTATTTCTTTTATAAACCCTCTTTCAGTTTTTAGTGTTTCATTAGATTAAGCCAAAACTTAAATCCCTTATCCTCTAATCTATCTTTTCTTCAAATGTATTGCCTCATTTTTTATTTTATTTTATTATAACCATTTGAATATTTTTCCTACAAATGATCAACCAAAATTTTTAATAAATTTCTTTGATGTCATTTTTAGTTAAAGTATTTTTCCTGTATTTTTAAATTTATTATTATCTTTCCTAATTATATTTCCTATTATATATGTGTCATTTGTATTTTAGAGTAAAAATAAACATCAAAATAGTTAATTATATATCTTAAAGTGAAATCATTTAAAACTTTAAGGACTCTTATATTAAAAAAAATATCAACTTCAAAATATAAATAGAAATGGGATCATCCCAAATTTAGGGGAAAATATGACATTTTTTTCATTTTGAAGTTGAAAATGAAGATAGATTTGAGTAAAATTGATTGCAAAATGAAAATAAACTTGAAAATGACCTGAGTTGGAGATGATCTAACAATTACTCCATTAATGGAGTTTTTCTAGAAATGGATAAATGCCCAAATAAAAATTAATATAATCATCCGTTTAGAGAAATTATTAGTGTTTATTTGGGCATTCATCCATTTAGAGCAACTCCAATAGGATATCAAAACATCAAATTTGGTGTTGGACTGTCTCCAACCGAAGTGCAAAAGCAAAACTAGTACCAAATTATTATTTTTTGTGTGTTTATGAATAGTGTGGTGTGAGTGTGTGACACTATTATATATATTAGGTATTAAAGCCCCACACACGCGGAGTTGTTAGAGACAACTTTTCGATTGTAAAGATGTAACTTATGTTTCAGTTTTTAATGTTTTCTATCATAATCTTATATTTATCTTTTAGTTTATCACTTATCTTACTATATAGAGCTGGATGTGCGCGACGTGTTGCGACACATAGGATTTTTATAAAATTTAGGATTGCGTGACATGTGTCACTTTTAATGTTATGTCCGTTAAGATCGTGACATGTGTCTTAGAAAAGAAAAAAAAAAAAATAAAAAAAAATGAAAAAAAAAAAACGAAATTTTAATCTTTTATAGTTAAAAGAAAAAAAATTATATTTGTCATATCCTAATAGAAAAAGGTTTCCCATTCATCAAATTTATATTATCCAAACACATATAAGATTCAAATTAATGAAATAAATAAAATCCTATTAGTACATGAAATAGGTTATAGTAAACTAAATTTCCTATAACTGCATGGAATAAGTTACATGAACCCCTATAAAAAGAGAGTTAAAGTAGTTTTTTTCTCATTCACAAACTCATCAAAGCAAACAACATGATAGCAATACGCATGATTTTTATAACTCACAAAATTGCGATATGTGTTTATATTCCCATTATGAACAGGAAAAAAACAATATATAATAAGCTATTGCGATTCAATTATGTGCTTCTATCTTTTGTATAATCTTTTCTCTCATAAAAAATCATGTATTTAAAATTCATGGTATCAATGAATAATATTTAACTCTATATTAGTTGGATAGAAATCAAAATTATTGTCGTTGTATCTAACTCTATATCTGATCCGGTGAAGACATGTTAATTGGAAAAATGTTAAACAGATATAAAAACTAGAAAAATAAAAAAAAAACTAACTAATAATGAAAATGAAAATTTATAATGGTCTGAGTCAAAAACAAAATTGAGAAAGAAACAATATAAATAGAAAACTAACAAATTAATTATCAAGCAACTAACTAATATTAAGAAAATATAATGAACCGATATTCTAATTTTAAATAGTTTAATTTTCAATATTGTTAGGTAAAAAATTATTAAATAAAGATTTCATCAATTGAAATCTCTTGAATGGAATAATAAAGTTTTGTTGAATTAATTAATCAGTTGATCATATTTAGACATATATAAGTCTTTCTATATTGGATAAAAATAAAAATAAAACAAATTAATTCATTTTTCATATCATGAATTCAAAAAAAATATCAATTACAATAAAAACGTAAAAAGGTTACCGATCTTATTTTATTTAAATATTTTTATCGGGTTTTTAATATTATTTGTTTACTTTAAAATGATCAAATTTGGTTTAATACTTTTCCATGATTTTATTACAAAATCTTAAAATAAACCCGCGTATACGCGGGTCTTAATAATAAGTACTTATTGAAACTATTAAAAATAAATAAAATATTAAATCTATGTAATATAAAAATAAAAATATTATTTTAGGTAAGATTTATTTATTTTTCTATTATTTTTATATTTATTGATTAGAATTATATATTAAACTTATAATTAACCACTTTTAAGAATAATGAGTATTTATCAAAATTATTAAAAATAAAAATGAGTCATAGTTTTAATAATATAATTATAGAGTTTTCTTTTAGTGTAAAATTTTGTATTTGTGGTTGGAGATGAAAAAAGAAAAGTAGACACCACAACACCAAATTTGGTGTTATTTGGTGCAATGGTTGGAGTTGTTCTTACAAATATTTGTTCATTTCTTAATCGATATCCAGGCTTTTTATAGTTTATTTTCAAATGTACATTTTTGTATCGGAAGTATATTAGAACCCTTCGAAGAACACTCTTTTTGTACCTAAAAGTATACAACTACTGGAACGGGTACGGGAACAAGTACGGGTACGGGAAACGACAAGTTAAAAATACATGGGTATGGGTACGTCGGGGTAGCTTCAGTTTTCAGTAGCTATATATATAAAATACCCATAAATAAATATATAAAAAATCAATCTTTGTCAAAACAAAAGAAACGTACTAAAATATCTCAGGAAGCAATAGAAAGCCAAAAGAAAAACACCAAAATATCTTAGAAAGCAAAAGTAAACCCAAAAAAAAGAACAACTACTCCGTGATGATAACGTTTTCCAACTCTGGTTCATCTAGTGTGAGATCTGCCAAATTCAAGTATCCCACATCTTCAATCAAATCAAACTCATCTTGATATGATTATGGAGGAGGTTGCTAGGAACTTGGACCAGGAAGCAGCTGGAGAGCTTGTAGCTGAGGAGGAGCAGCTTGAACCTGAGGAAGCTTGGAAGCCTTGGCTTACCAACTGGTCCCATCACAAGGTCCCAGACTAAGATGCTCAACCAAGACATTGGAAGAGTACTTAGCCGTTTGAGTCGGCATGATCAGGAGCTTAAACATTCCACTTTGGTTTGTTTGAGAGCCCAACACTTGGGATAAAGAAGCAAGTGGATTTTAGTGTGCTCTTTTTCCCTGCCAAGGTTTTGTCCCTTTGGGTTTTCCTTGGCAGGTTTTTAACGAGGCCTAAAGACCCACTTCCATCCCTTCTTTGTCTCATGTTGTTTGGGTCCGGCCCACTTTTACTCAAATTCTTGCCGCCCATGAAGAGTCTCTTTTATTCAAACTTGTCTTTATGTTTTGTTTCCGAGATGGTCATGGAGCTTGTTCCATTGACTCATCTCTCTCTCTCTCTCTCTCTCTTCTCTCCTTTATATGTTCTGGACGAACTCCCTTTCAGTTTATGCAACCTTGAATGAAAAACCCTTTTCCTTTGTTTACTCAAAGATCTCTTAGTGTGATTCTAAGAACCCTTTCTCTTGGTGTGTTGAATCCGAGAAATCCCTTTAGATTAGTTGTGAGTTGTATCAACTATTTAGAGGTGGTGTTGGAGATTCCTTTCCATTGGATCTCTGGTATAGCCATTCAATCCATCTCATCTATCACTTTCCATCGATCCATTCATCATTCACATTTCAATCCATTCGCCAAGTTCTTTGTTCCATTCACTCCATCTCAATTCAACCTCTACTTGCTTCAAAGTGCCGATCTCTAACAAGGGGTCTATCAAGTGGTATCAGAGCCACTTTGAAGCTAAGTGAATCTCTTTTTTGTTTTCGATTTTTCATTTGTGCATCTTTGACAATTGTGACTGTTCATCTTCTGATCTAGATCTGGCCAGTTTCATTTGTTTGCATAATTTTAAAATTGTTGAAATAATTAATCCTGATCACTCCATAGATCTATCCATCTACTATTTTTCCCATATTTTTAGAAATTGTTTACATAATTTCTAAATTATTTCTTGATCTTTTCCTTTGAACTCTTAACTGCCGAGTTTCTGTTTTTTCAGGTACTATGGCGGATGGAAAGGAAGATGAAGAAGATTCGAACAAGAGTCTCAGTGAATCCCTTCTGGAACAATCAAGAAGCTCATGAGGGATGAGTTTGACGGAGGGAACAAATTAAGGCAGGAAAGCGCAAAGAGTCTAGAGATCACATCCATATCTCGGATGAGGAGGAGGAACGACCCTATGGCCTCAAGAAGGATGGCCGATGAGCAAGCCAATGCTTACTACAACAGTGGCCATTCCTCTCAAGGAAGTCGGCGCCGCTCTAGAAGGCATCGCGATGATCCAGACCGCTTGGTCGAAAATCTTGGAGGATACAAGATCCGGATTCCCCCTTTCCATGGCAACAACAATCCTGATGAGTACATGGACTGGGAGAAGAAGTGTGAGTTCAACTTCAACTTACACAACATATCCAACATCAACAGAGTCAAACTGGCGGTCTCTGAGTTCAATGACTATGCCCTAAGGTGGTGGGAACAAGTCGTGACCGCAAGAGAGATTGGTGGAGCTCTTGAGGTCTCTACCTGGGAAGAGATGAAAAGGATCATGAGGCAGAGGTTCATTCCTAGCTATTATCAGAGAGAGCTACATTCTAAGCTCAGGAGGCTCACTCAAGGGTCCAAAACAGTTGAAGAATACTTCCAGGAGATGGAAGTGATGATAATGAGGGCTAATGTATTGAGGACAGAGAAGCCACTATGTCCGGTTCCTTGGAGGGCTCAACCGCGAGATCCAAGATTGTGGAGATGCAAAACTGTGTGGGCTTAGAGTCTATGCTCCACAAGGCCGTCCTTGCTGAGCAACAGCTCAAGAGAAAGACACCCTCACGCTATGGAGCTGATCAGCGCAGGCCGATGTATCCAAGAGACTCCAAACCGGCTTCACACCAAAGTCTGAGCCAAGAGGACCTCTTACAGTCAAGACAAGGACAAGAGCAAAACCAGTTCAACTCTGGCCCTAGAGCTCGCGAGCTTAAGTGCTTCAAGTGTCAAGGCTTTGGACACTATGCCTATGAATGCCGCAACAAGAAGATGATGATCATAAGAGACAATGGAGAAGTGGAGTCTGAAGAGGAGATCATTGTCTATAAGCCAGAGCAAGAGCCAAGCCAGAAGAGTATGAGGCCGTTCCTGTCATGGGAAAGCTCTGGTGGCCAGAAGGATCTTAAGCGCTCAAGTCCAAACCCCAAAGGAAGCCCAGAGAGAGAATCTCTTCCATTCACGCTGTCTTGTCCAGGAGAAGGTGTGCAGTCTCATTATTGATGGAGGCAGTTGTACTAATGTGGCTAGTGAGGCCATGGTTGAAAAACTTGGTCTTGTGACTCAGAAACATCCCAAGCCATATCAGTTACAATGGATCAATGAGACTGGAGATATGAGCGTGAAGGAACAGGTGCTTGTGCCATTATCCATTGGAAGCTATGAAGATGAGATTTTGTGTGATGTCCTGCCTATGGATGCTGGACACATCATTTTGGGAAGGCCTTGGCAATCTGATAGGCGAGTGATGCATGATGGTTTCACAAACAAGTATACCTTCCTGCACAAGGGGCGCAAGACCACTCTTATTCCCTTAACCCCTCAAGAGGTGTATGAAGATCAAGTCCAGCTGTGCAGTCAGAGAACCAAACCTCAAGCCAAGAAGGAGCCACCCAATCCAATCAAATCCTTGAACTATCTGGTCAAGTCCAAACAGGTTAAAAGTTCTATGTCTTCTGATAAGCCTTTTCTCTTGTTTATCTTTAAAGGATCACTTAACCTTCTTGTTGATAATGCACCGGAGATTCCGAGTGAGATGTCTAAGCTTTTACAGGATTTCAAGATGTGTTTCCAGATGATTGCCCAAAAGGATTGCCACCAGTCAGAGGCATTGAGCATCAAATAGATTTTGTTCCTGGATCCACACTTCCAAACCGCCAGCATACAGAACCAATCCTGTTGAAACCAAGGAACTCCAGCGCCAAATTGATGAGCTTATGGACAAGGGTCACATCCGGGAAAGCATGAGCCCTTGTGCTGTTCCTGTTCTTCTTGTGCCCAAGAAAGATGGGAGTTGGCGCATGTGTGTGGATTGCAGAGCCATCAACAATATCACTGTAAAGTATCGACATCCTATCCCTAGACTTGATGATATGCTTGATGAGTTGCATGGTTCTAGCATTTTCTCTAAATTGATTTAAAAAGTGGTTATCATCAGATTAGGATGAAAGAAGGTGATGAGTGGAAAACTGCATTTAAAACTAAACATGGTCTTTATGAATGGCTTGTCATGCCATTTGGTCTCACTAATGCACCTAGTACATTCATGCGCCTGATGAACCATATCTTGAGAAACTTCATTGGTCATTTTGTTGTGGTTTACTTTGATGACATTTTGATTTACAGCAAGAACCTTGAAGAGCATCTAGATCACCTTGCATCTGTTATGTCTGTGCTGAGAAAAGAAAATTGTTTGCCAATCTTAAGAAATGTACTTTTTGCACAGATAATGTGGTTTTTCTAGGCTTTGTTGTGAGTGCAGATGGAGTCAAGGTGGATGAAGAGAAAGTTGCTGCCATTAGAGAATGGCCGAGCCCTAAGACAGTGAGTGAAGTCAGAAGCTTCCATGGCCTAGCTGGGTTCTATAGGCGGTTTGTCCGTGATTTTAGTACCTTGGCCGCACCTCTGACTGAAGTCATCAAGAAAGAAGTTGGATTCAAGTGGGAGAAAGCACAGGAGGATGCTTTCCAGCTCTCAAGGATCGCTTGACTAATGCCCCTGTTCTTATTTTACCTGACTTCTTGAAAACTTTTGAGATTGAGTGTGATGCTTCAGGTATTGGCATAGGAGCTGTCTTGATGCAGGACAAGAAGCCAATTGCTTTCTTTAGTGAAAAGCTTGGAGGAGCCACTCTCAACTATCCAACCTATGACAAGGAACTCTATGCCTTGGTCCGCGCCCTGCAAACTTGGCAACACTACCTCTGGCCAAAGGAGTTTGTCATCCACACAGACCATGAATCTCTCAAACATCTCAAGGGCCAACAAAAGCTCAACAAAAGGCATGCCAGGTGGGTTGAATTCATTGAGACATTCCCATATGTCATCAAGTACAAAAAAGGTAAGGACAATGTTGTAGCCGACGCATTGTCCAGGAGGTACACTCTTCTCTCAACTCTTGATGCTAAACTCTTGGGCTTTGAACAGATAAAAGACTTGTATGCTTCTGATTCTGATTTTGCTGAGATTTACAAGTCTTGTTCTAAATTTGCTTTTGGCCGATACTTTAGACAAGATGGGTTTCTCTTCTATGAGAACCGCCTTTGTGTGCCTAATTGTTCTTTGAGGGATTTGTTTGTCAGGGAAGCACATGGAGGAGGCTTGATGGGACACTTTGGTGTGGCCAAAACACTTCAAGTCATGAGGGATCATTTTCATTGGCCGCACATGATCAGAGATGTGGAGAGGATTTGTTCTAGATGTGCAACTTGTAAACAATCCAAATCTAAGGTTCAACCTCACGGTTTGTACACTCCTCTCCCTATTCCATCTCATCCCTGGACTGATATATCCATGGATTTTGTGCTTGGATTGCCTAGGACTAGAACTGGAAAAGATTCTATCTTTGTGATAGTTGATAGGTTCTCAAAAATGGCTCATTTTGTGGCATGTCGTAAAACTGATGATGCATCTCATGTAGCTGCTCTGTTCTTTAAAGAGATTGTTAGATTGCATGGCATGCCGCGCACCATTGTCTCTGATCGTGATACAAAGTTCCTGAGTTATTTTTGGAAAACTTTGTGGTCTAAGTTGGGTACTAAGCTTTTATTTTCTACTACTTGTCACCCTCAAACTGATGGCCAAACTGAAGTTGTTAATAGGACTCTTGGAACTTTGTTGCGCGCCTTGATTAAAAAGAATCTTAAAAGCTGGGATGATTGTTTGCCACATATTGAGTTTGCATATAACCATGCTGTGCATTCTGCTTCTAAGTTTTCTCCATTTGAAATTGTTTATGGGTTTAAGCCCATCTCTCCTTTGGATTTGATGCCTTTGCCTTTGAGTGAAAGATTAAGCACAGATGGAAAGCATAAGGCAGAGACAGTCAAGAGGATCCATGAGCAGGCCTAGAAGGAACATTGAGGCCAAAACCAAGCAGTATGCTCAACATGCCAACAAGGGCCGCAAAGAAATGGTCTTTGAAGTGGGAGACAAGGTTTGGATCCATCTGCGCAAAGAGAGGTTCCCGGCCGAGCGCAAATCCAAACTTATGCCAAGGATAGATGGACCATTTGAGATCACCAGAAGAATCAACAACAACTCCTACCAAATTGATCTCCAAGGTAAGTATAACATAAGTTCAGTTTTAATGTTACTGATCTTTCTCCTTTTCTTGCAGATGAACCAGATTTGAGGACAAATCCTTTTCAAGAGGGAGGGGATGATATGATCATGGAGGAGGTTGCTGGGAACTTGGACCAGGAAGCAGCTGGAGAGCTTGTAGCAGAGGAGGAGCAGCTTGAACCTGAGGAAGCTTTGGAAGCCTTGACCTTACCAACTGGTCCCATCACAAGGTCCCAGACTAAGATGCTCAACCAAGACATTGGAAGAGTACTTAGCCGTTTGAGTCGGCATGATCAGGAGCTTAAACATTCCACTTTGGTTTGTTTGAGAGCCCAACACTTGGGATAAAGAAGCAAGTGGATTTTAGTGTGCTCTTTTTCCCTGCCAAGGTTTTGTCCCTTTGGGTTTTCCTTGGCAGGTTTTTAACGAGGCCTAAAGTCCACTTCCATCCCTTCTTTGTCTCATGTTGTTTGGGTCCGGCCCATTTCCCTTCTTCAACTCTAAGTCTTGCCGCCCAGGGCACTGAAGGGTCTCTTTTTATTCAAACTTTGTCTTTAATGTTTGTGTGTTTCCGAGATGGTCATGGAGCTGTTCCATTGACTCATCTCTCTTCTTCTCCTTCTCTTCTCTCCTTTATATGTTCTGGACGAACTCCCTTTCAGTTTATGCAACCTTGAATGAAAAACCTTTTTCCTTTGTTTACTCAAAGATCTCTTAGTGTGATTCTAAGAACCCTTTCTCTTGGTGTGTTGAATCCGAGAAATCCCTTTAGTATTAGTTGTGAGTTGTATCAACTATTTTAGAGGTGGTGTTGGAGATTCCTTTCCATTGGATCTCTGGTATAGCCATTCAATCCATCTCATCTATCACTTTCCATCGATCCATTCATCATTCACATCTCAATCCATTTCGCCAAGTTCTTTGATTCCATTCACTCCATCGCTACAATTCAACCTCTACTTGCTTCAAAGTGTCGATTCTCTACAAGGGATTTATCACATCTCCTCCCACATCCCACATCTTCGTCTTCTGAGTTTCATATTCATTATCATTCCTTGATAAAAGACGAAGGTTGTTGTGGATGAAAACCAAATCTACAGCACGACTTGGTAACAACCTGTTTCTTTTAAGTGAGTGGATAAATGCATAAGTACTCCAGTTGCGTTCAGCACAAGAAGAAGAAGAAGGTTGTCCAAGCAACTTAAAAGCCAAACCTTGGAGCAAAGGAGTTTGTGCACCAAAGTTAACCCACCAATTCTTGGGTTCCATAATAGACATCGACTCAATGCATTTTAAATCATCAAAAGAACCCATCTTCATTGAAAAGTCTGCATAATCATTCAGAACTTTTGTATGCTCATCATCATTTGGAAACAATCTTCGGAAACACTTTATCCTTTCACATGAGATTTCTCCATCTCTATGAGGACCAATTCTTGTAAAATCTTCACTTAGCCAATCTTCACTATAAAACCTACAATATACAAAACATGTTATCTATATATAATATGCAACAAATAAACAAAAACAGAATTAATTTTTTTTAAACTTATTTACCTTGGATTTAAAGAGTGAGCTAGACAATGTAGAGAAGTGCTACTCTTTGTCCAGCGAGCAATCAAGATATCGTACACAACCTCATAAAAAGGACTCATTTCATGTGATGGTCTACTTTCTCTCTTGTAGATCTCAGCCTTCACTTTCTCTATCATAGAGTCCCACATCTCATATACCAAATGAAGACATGGCTTGTCAGTGTCACAAAATCTCACCATGTCGTATATGGGCTTGGTGAAATCAATAATGTAAGATACACTGTCCCACCAATCATCATTCAGAAGCTTGTCTTTAACCCAGTTTGCTTTCTCCACATCGTCTTCTCTATAATTGGATTATTCCTCACTAATAACCATGGCTTGAAGACCCCTTCTAATGAGCTTAAGTCTCTTAAGCATCACAATAATTGATGCAAATCGAGTATCAGCAACAGCAAGCAACTTAAGAGTAGAGAACTTACTGAAAATAGCAAGCCTCATGTTGTGGTTCATGATGAAGTTTTTGATTGCATGTGCCTCTCCATGGACTTTAGTTATCCACTTACACTCATTATAAGTCTCCTCATTCGTTTCAGTATTCTTTGCTGCACATATATTCTTCAGAGCGAGGTTAAGAGTGTGGACAACACATGGAGTCCAATAGATGTGGGGAAATTCACCCTCAGTGAGCTCTCCTGCGGCCTTGCAATTTGCTACATTATCCGTGATCACTTGAACAATGTTGTGATGTCCCACTTGGTTAATGACCTCTTTCAGCAATGAAGAACTTATCTTTCACTTCCCCCAAGCAATTCACAGCTTTAAGAAACAGAGGAGCATTAGCACTAGTAGCTATGAAATTAATCAAAGGCTTTCTAGTGGGATCACTCCAACCATCACTCACAATCGACACTCCTCTTTCTTTCCATGTCGATTTCAGTACCATCAAATGCTTCTCAACTTTGGCTTTCTCTTTATCCATTAACGTAGTTCTCAGCTTATTATACCCAGGAGGTACATAACCATCAATCCTTTGAGCTGCAGCAAACTGATAAGACCTATGATAATATGGATTCCTTGCTAGGTTGAATAGCAAGCCTCCCGTATAAAACATCCTTGCAATTTCTTGATCCAATTGCTCTCTAACTTCAACACCAAATGCTGCAACAATAGGTGAAAAAGAAGACCTTCTTCTCTTTGCAGAATTCTCTGTTTCACATGCTAACGGAACCTCCCTAGCACCAGACTCAGATTTCTTCTTCAGAAATTCTTCTTCCAACTTTTTCATCGCTTGCCTTTGTGGTCTTGTTACCTTCGTACAAGCAGCAACGCCAGACTGTGGAACTGCAAGCAAATGCCCCTTCACCCTTGAATACGACCCTTGTCGAATTATCTTATAAAAAGTGCACTCGAATTTCCAAGTTCCTCCCGTAAGACCTTGCTTATCTAACTTAGTCACATATTTCCATAATGGAGCAGTCCCTTCACTGTCACTTTGATCTGGTGTAGACGACGAACTACCGGTGTTGTTTTGCTCTTGAGTAGACATAGTTGACAGTTGAGGAGAAACAGAGAAGATGGATCAGGCGCCGATCAGGGATATGGGACTATGGGAGAGAGATCGACAGATCGTGGACGTGAAAGAGAATAAAAACCCTAAGTAGACGGAACGTCTACTTTTATTTTCTAATTACTGATACTTTCTATTTTTTAATCATGCCACGTCACAAAACGTCCCTGAAACGTTCCCGATTTCGGCCGAAGCCGTACCCGAATTTAGCTAACGTACCGTCTTTCTCGAATCGTTCCGGAGACGCACCTATGACGTCCCCAAACAGTTTCTGTCCCGGGACGATTCGGGTACGCGGGACGACACTAATTTTTCGTCCCCGTGCAACGTAGCATATACAAATACATTTCATTATTTTGAAAGAATAGTCTATATTTTTTTTTTTTACCATAAAGAATTTCTTAAATTAATGCAAGAAGAAAAAAAGTTACAAGCCTAGAGGTGATATACCTCTAATTTACATGCTTTTTATACTGTTTTAGTATTGTTTTCTAATGGTTTTTGGCAGGTTTTCTATCTAAAAAGGTAGTTTTACTGTGTTTATAGTGTCTAGAGTCTAAACAGGTGAAATGATGCATTTTGGAGCAAAACCATAGGATTTGCACTTCAAGCCGCTCCATGCACAAGCACCAACTTTAAGAGGGCCCAGAAAAAGATCTACTCAATGGATTTCATCAAGACCAGTTCCCTGCGTGCTCTGATTGAGTTAACTTTCCAACGCAACTGGAATGGCCTCATTTGGATGAGTAGAAAAGGAGTTACAACCAAAAGAGTGAAGACTGCTCCAGACGGCTCTATCGAGAACAGCGCCCAAACCGCGCAGTCCGGCTGGCCGAGGAACGAACGTTCCACGCTCGGCCAAATCTCATCCGTCCGTCTGAAGTCTCGGCCAAAGTCCAAAACCGTTCGGCCGATCACGCATCACGACCCGGGAAACTAAGCCCGCGGTCGGCCACGCCACAACCGCTCACGCCAATGCCGCGCACGACCATGCCGCGCAGCCGGGAACAAAGCCTCGCGGCCGCGCAACCTGTCTCGCGTACCACGGCCGATGGCGCCGTCCGAGCCGGGAACTACGTCCGCGTCCGGCCGAGATTTCATCGGCCAAGTCTTCATCCGTCCGACCACAGCGGCCGACCACGCATCCGTCCGGCCACGACCGTTCCATCGTACTCGGCCATGACCCGATCATCCGGCCGATCGTCCCGACCGACCGTCCAACGCCGCGGTCGACCCGAAGCCCGTTTTGAAGCCCGTTTCATATTTTTCAAGGCCCGGCTTAACCCTAAGCCGCCTCTAAAGACCTAGCACTATATATATAGCTTTTTAGCCTCTTGTGAAAAGAGAGCCGCCCTTGTATTTCGATTTCCTACTCTAAGTTTTATTGCAATCATGTTTTCTTCATCTCTATGTGTGTTTGCTTTGATCATGTCTGAGTAATCCACTAGTTAGGTTGCTAGGGTTACTATTCAATGAGTTGCTTGCATGATCTTTGATTTCAATGATTAGCTAGGGATTATATTAGAGTCTTTGTCTCGTCTTGTGCACTTAACTAATGCTGATTGCTTTACCGCGCATCTAGTAATCCGATCTTAGGTTGATTTGAGCCTCGACAGTGTTGTATCATTCGCCGGACATATTCTTTGACAAGCTAGGTTTCTTAGACTGCGAAAGTTGATCTACTATAATCTAGTGAACTGTATCAGAACCTATTCATTCTAAAGCTTGATTTAATCACCTAGGGACATACCAAAAGTTTAGCGACTAGGTAGATTAACAAAGGAGCCGGAGCCTCGAAAGTGGAATGGTTTTATATTCGTGATCTGTGTTCTAGACGGTTCTTAATATCCCAACATCCCTAATCAATTCATCTATCATTGTTTCATTGATCATTGCTTGCTTCTCTGCGATTAGCCCCTATGACCTAGCGCTTTTCCTTATTGTTTACAACCTCGTTATACTTGCTAGTTCGGTTCACCATTACAACCTCAATCATACTTTTGTTTTAGCTTGATCCAAAATCCATAGTTTCAAAGTGTACTCAATAGCCAGTCCTTGTGTTCGATACCCATACTTCCGCGATCTGTGCACTTGCAGAGGTCTAGGAGTTTGGTAAAACCTGACTCCGCATCAAGAGGCTCTATAGTTTTTAGCATCTGCCCTTTGCCAAGCAGTTTACAATACTAATTGAACCAGCCCATAATTATAGTAAGCCCAATTCCAGGAAAAGGAAGTTGAGAATTTTTGTCGAAAAAAGATGAGAGGAAAAGAAAAACCGGCGACTTGAGACGCCATCGGACTCCTTTTCATCTCGCTGGCTCCATTGAGAGCCAAAGCTGCAAAAGCTTAGAAGCTAGCGTCGGGTCTCTAAACCCCGCTATTTTGTTTCTGATTTGCCGATCAATCTGAGTGTTGATTGAGTCCATGGAGCAGAAGACTTGGCGGTGCAGTCTCGTGTTCCTTTCATGCCATAACCAGTAGATCGAAGCCTGCCATGCTAGCAGGCCAGTCTGTTTGCCATATTTCCCAGAGCCAGGGTCTGCATCTGGTTCAGTGAATCCGTCCAACCCCTTGCCGCTTGAAGACCACATCTTCTCGCCTGAATCCTCCATACTGACCAGCTTCTAGGGCAATCAAAAAAGAGATGATCTCTCGATTCAATTCCAGAGTTACAGAGAATGCAGTTCATGTCAGTTTGGAGCCCCCAACTTTGAAGTCGGTCTCTTGTGGGAAATCTGTTCAAGACAAAGAGCCATGCAAGGAAGCTATGCCTTGGAATCCCTCCTGCATTCCAAACAGTTTTTGTCCAAGGTACTACTTGAGTCTCTGTAGTTAATTTCCTGTAGACTTCCCCAATACTGTATTTTCTTGTAATTTTTCCATCAATTTCCCACGCAAATGCATCCTCCTGGTCCGTAAACGTGACAGTAGTTAGTATAGGTTTAGAATGTGAATAATAATATTACTAGAAAAATGAAAAATGATGTACAATATATATAGCCACATAAGAGAGACTCTAAGGATTAAATAATTACAATTAGATCCTTAATAACTATATTTGATATCCCTAACACACCCCCTCAAGAAGGAGGCAGGGGAATGACTCCGAGTTTGTTCCATGAAGTTTGGAAGTGTGAACGTGGCAGGGGTTTGGTGAGCATGTCGGCGAGCTGATCATGAGTAGAGACATGTGAGACACGAAGTATACCGGACTGGATTTGCTCGCGGACGAAGTGATAATCAAGAGCAATGTGTTTCATCCTAGAATGGAAGACAAGATTAGCACATAGGTATGTAGCTCCCACATTATCAAAATACACAGTTGGAGGGTGACGAACAAAGAGACCAAGCTCTGTGAGTAACGAACAGATCCACCTAATCTCAGCAGCGGTGTTTGCCACATCACGATAATCAACTTCAGTGGAGGAGCGTGCAACTCCTTTAAGCTTCTTCGATGACCAAGAGATAGGATTCTTGCCAAGATAAACGATAAACGCATTGGTGGAGTTGTAGTCATCAACATCACCAACCCAATCGGCATCATAAAATCCATGGATAGTTAAAGTACTGCTGGAGTTGAGGAAGATTCCATGTGTGAGCATACCAGCAAGATACCAAAAGACCCGTTTTGCAGCTTGCCAATGATCTTCCATGGGAGAGTGCATGTAGAGAGACAACTTGTTGACGGAAAACGTTATATCCGGGCGAGTGAAGGCAAGGTATTGTAAGCTCCCAACCACCATACGATACTCCTTAGCACTGTCAAGAGGTTTCCCGGAATGGAGAGTGAGCTTGGGACTCGTTGCCATCGGAGTTGTGATCGGCTTAGCATCTAACATATGTGTCTTCGTGAGAAGGTCAACAATGTATTTGCGTTGCATAAGGTGCAGACCATGTGAGGTACGTGTGACTTCAATGCCAAGGAAGTACTGTATATCACACAGATCCTTGATAAAGAAGCGAGTACCAAGAGATTTCTCCACACTAATAACGAGCTCCGGTCGATTTCCTAACACAATGATATTGTCAACATAGACAAGGACACAGAGCAATACTGAGTCTCGACAGTATATGAAGAGAGAGGTGTCGGAGAGAGAGTTGGTGAAACCGGTCTGAATCAGGAAGTCTTTGAGAGCCATATACCATATAGGTTTATAATGTGAATAATATTATTAGAAGAATTATGTACAGTATATATAGCCACCTAAGGGAGACTCTAGGGATTAACTAATTACAGTTAGATCCTTAATAACTACTATATTTGATATCCTTAACAGCGTGTAAACTGACCTGATTCTCTGACCTTGCAGGAGGTAGACGCCATCTGTCATATCTAAACAAGCTTGCCACTGTTGCCCTCTCTTGTATGCCAAGTCTCGAGTTCCCCGACTCCTTCAGAAAGTGTCTCAGATTCCCAAAAGGAGACCAGTTGTCCGACAGAATCTACGCCTAGTTTTGTTGCCAATCCTCATCTTTATCCAAGGGTAGATATCCTCTCAGATCTTTATCAACTTGTTTGCCAGCCAAGAGTTCTCACGGTGAGGTTTGATAGTCCATAAATTGCTCACATTCCCTTCTAAGATCTCTCTAATGAACCAGGCCACCCACACTGATCCCGACTGGAAGAACAAAAGCCAGATCAGCTTTAGGCAGCAAGCCCTATTCCAAGTAGATAAGTCTTTTATTTCCAAGCATCCTGCCTCTTTTGGTTTTTTAATCAGAGCCCAAGAGACTCTTGCTGAGTGATGACCTTCTAGGTTTCCTTTCGACAAGTAAAAACTATAGAGGGAGTTGATTCTTCTTATGCAAGCTTTCGGGAGGATGAAGGTCGAGCACCTGAAAGTGGAGATTCCGGCTATTACTGTCTTAATGAGAACTAAACGGCCTGCAAAAGAGAGGGATTTGGCACTCCAGGAGGTAATTCGAGTATTTACCTGATGTATGAGCACTTCGCACTTGCTCATGCTTAGCTTTTTAGTGCAGAGAGGGACTCCTAGGTAGTGAACTGGCAGCGTGCCTTGAGGTATTCCCGTGGAGAAGGAGATCAGGTCACAGTCTTGTTGGCTTAGTCCGGAGGCGAAGATCTCGATTTCTGAACACTAACCGCTAGGCCCGATCTCAGATGAAACTCTTGGAGAACCTGGAGGACGTTTTGAGTCGAATCAAGTGAACCTTCTACAGAGATGAGGAGATCATCCGCAAAGCAAATGTGAGTTAATTTTGTTGCACTACATTTGTCATGGTAGTTGAATTTTCCTTTCTCAGCCGCTTTGTTTAGCATAGTTGATAAGCAATTCATGGCAATAACAAAAAGGTAAGGAAAGAGTGGGTCTCCTTGCCTTAATCCTCTCTTTCCTTTGAAATCACCCATAACCATACTATTGTAGCCGATTGTGAAGTTTGTAGTGCATATTCGAGACTATTCGAGACTAGTTTAAATAATTGGTTTAATTTGACTCACCTCTCGTGTAACTCAATAGTGAGGAAAGAAAGAAAACTGTTGATCGCAACCATATTTTACGGCACTTCAATTCTTTGTTCAAACGAACTCAATATAACTTTTTGTTTTATGTAAAGAAAAAAAAAAATAATACTCCATAAGACATGGTTGCAGTTGTGTCACGTTCTCCAACATGTGCGACCATGCAGGATCAAATATAAGTGCTAGAGTTATGGAGTTAAGACAAAAAAACAAATGATTTCCTTTTAGCATAACTCAAAGAAAGTAAATCTTACTATATTTCTCTTAAATCACAAATCCACTTTTGAGTTAGCCAAAAACTATAAATATGAATCTTGATCCAAATGTTGACAAGAAAAAGAAAGAAAAAGAAGTGTTCATCCAAATGCCAATCTAGTTTAATGGTCCACACTGGCCAACGGCGGATTCACCTAACGGCTCCTTTGGACTCTCCGCTCTCGGACCCTCCAAGTGCACGCCTTCATCTGCATTAATAGTTTAATTAGAGCACTAAGCTACTACCTACTAACTAATGAAAGTGAAAATTGAACTTTATTGTCCCAAATGAACATTTTTCTGCATTTCCCGTAGAAGCTTCCTCGAGACCCTCAACATACTTTGTCTTCGTCCGAATCTGTTTTACATTCTGTTTTTCTTTTATTCTTTCTTTTTTTTCCGACACGTTCCAAGTTTAGAGGATAAACACAAACACAATTCTATGACTCACAATTTTTTTTTGTTTTACGTATAAGAAAACTTTCTAATAATAGATAAAACAAAACACTGTAGCACTTGATTTTCTGTTTCTTCATCGTTACCTTCTCTTTCGAGTCTAACAACACTCGTCGTTACTCTGTTTTTAGCTGTGAAAACAGCGAGAAAATTTAGTCTCTTCAGTAATCGAATAAAACAAACTTTTCTTCTTTTCTTTTGTTTTCTAATTCATTTCCTAAGCTCAAGATCCAATCAAAGATGGGTCTTTGTGATTGTCTTCGTCTTTGTGATCGTTGACGAAGACGTTTAAATTAATTTACGTGTAAATGGCGTCTTCTCAGGTAGAGATCGTCTATTTACGACCTACCTTCGGTTGTATCCTTAGAGATCGCAACCGTCGGCAGAACGACGACAACGACGTCGTTTTCCTGAAGAATCTGAAAGCTCATGTGAAAACTACTCCTCCCATCCCCGACGAGAATTCGCATTCTTGGATCAGAGACAAGCCGAGAAAGAAGAGCAAAAGCCGTCTTGGATCGCCGGAGAAACCACGTACCAGAAAAGCTAACAACTTTTCCGGCAGCACGAAATATTCGAAGAGAGACGACGACAGTCTCGGAGGAGCTTCTTCTCTTGTGCAGATATGGGAGGCGAGGCTTACTCGATCCACCGGCGGAAACTCGCCGATCCACGGCCAATTTACAGAAGAAATCCACCTTCCGGCTCCATCAATTGACGACGGAGAGTCTGAATCGGAGAACGAATCGAAAACTCCTGATCTAACGGCGGAGATTAGATCCGGGACTCTCAATTCGGTTTCTGATTCCGGAGGGAGCAAATGGGGCAGAGTCGCTGAAATGATCCGGAGATTAAGTAACGAACAGAAGCTGACCGCCGGCAATAATGGCGGTGCCGTCGAAATGCCGATCGTAAAAACGCCGACGCCGGAGAAAATGAGTTTTCCGGTGGTGACTCGTTCGCCGCGACTCCGAGGACGGCAAGCTTTATCTGATTTCCTTACGCATCTGGAACGCGACCGTCACCGCGAATTGGAGTCGCTTCTTAAACGCAACGCAGTTTCTAGGTTTACTCAACGCGGTCGCCTCCAGGTATTTGCGTTTTACGAAACACACCCAATATTTCAACATTATTTACACAAACAGCTCACAACTTTCTGTAGAATCAAATTGACCCCAGCTCTCTCGTTTTTCCTTGTTGCGCAGTCAATGTTGCGGTTAAGGAGTCTCAAACGCGGCCTAGCCATTCAAGAACGTCACCGAAGTAGTGCGAAAACACCCGATTTGAATCGCGTTCTCCATCTAAGGTATGATCAAGAAAAAAGAAAAAAACCTATGTTTCTTACAAGATCACAAGATTCAGATCTTAGCAATTATTTTTCTTATCCTCAGACTTTAATTCGTGTGTCCGCAGAGAAAAATTCCGTGTAAACGCAGCAAACGACGCCGCTGAAGCAAAACAGAGAAAAGGCCCACCTAACCGCAAGGTAGAGGAAGTAGCTTTACTCAAGAAAGAAGAAGAAACTAAATCAAAGATGATTAGTTACCTTAAGCTGCAAGAAACCTTAGTAGCAGAAGCTTTGAAAACAAGAACTGATAAAACTAGCATAACTCATCAAGAACCGGAGATAATGGTGAAAGAGGAAGCGAACAAGGTCGAAATCAGTACGCAAGGAACTGGAGAAACGCTGTTACTTGATGAACAAGAAACTTCGTTTTCGAATGAATGGGAAGAGCAAGAAGAGTACGAGGACGAACAGTCTTACTACGGAGAAATGAGCTATGACTGGCTTACAGAAATATCTCGGCCTCGGAGTCATTGGGAAGATCTGAGGAAATCACGGTATCTTGAAGTGATGAACACTCGATCTGACGGAGACGATATTTGCAAACTTCTCGAGAGGTAAAACTAAATCACATAGAACCCTAGTTTCTTAATTAAGAAAAAGATCTTAATGATCGGTTCTATGGATCATACAGAGGAACGGTTTCGGACTTCCTCCAGAGCGGACTGCGAGAGAAGATCGATAACCTCTTAATGTCTCGTGTCCAAACACATCCGGCTCAGAGGATATTTAAAGAAGCAGGTAAAGAGGAAGAGAAATGTGGCATAGGCGAAGAAGAAGATGAAGAGAGAGATGACTTGAGCGAGACGTCATCGCAGATATTTGCACCTTCCCCTGCAGGATCATGGAGTTCTCAGGACACAGGAGTTACTTCCACACCTCTGAACAATCTTCATTCCACTGTGAGCCTCTCTTCTCTTCTTGTTGATTTGTTAAAAAATTATTTGGTGAGATTTGGCATTTATAATTTTTAGAAAATGTTTCAGGAGATGGAGATTATAAGCGATTTGAGAACACAGATTTTACAGCTACAACAAGAAATGTCGGAGCTACGTGACTCTGTCAAGACATGTTTGGACGTAAACGCTAGTCTTCAAAAATCGGTTCACCTGGAAAATCCATTGAAACGCAAATGCTGCGTTTGTAACGAAACGCAAGTTGAAACACTTTTATACAGGTAAGCAAACATCTTTACCGGTTTCAAAAACATTTTAGTTCGGGTTTCGATTTTTTCCATATAAAAATAAATAACTAAAAAAAAGAAGATTGTTTTATTTTTCCAGCATAAAATATTGTTACGAATCGATATGGTTTTAATTGCGTTTGATATTGGCAGGTGCGGGCACATGTGCACATGCCTGAGATGTGCAAACGAACTACAATGTAATGGCGGGAAATGCCCGATTTGTCATGCGAAGATCCTAGACGTTGTTCGCGTCTTCGTTGATTCAAGAACCTGAGACTAATAAAACTAACGTTCGCAACGCTAATGATATTTCACTTAACCTAATTACACACACTTTAAAAAAACAAAAAATTGTTCCTTTGTTTCCTTTCAAGTTTGACTGCAGCGCGTTTGCGTTTTGGATGTGCGTCCGAGATTCATACTATTTTCTTTATAGGTGAATTACTAACCGAACCTCTTTTCGTGACGTTGAAGTTTTCTTCTTGTAAAGATATACCTACACATGCCTTTCACTTTACTTCCATCGAGTTTGTACGAGGTTAAGTATCTAACATTTATTTTATATATATTTAAGTATGTACTAATCTTAAAGCAATGACGGAAAAATTACCCAAGTATTCCAAATAACTTTGGATTTCTGTAAGAATAATGCCAAAGCTTAATGCTTGATGCAAAGGTGAAACATGTAAAAGGCTTAGAAATCACAAGTCTCTTAATCGAAAGTGTTAGTAATGATTTAGGTCTAAGAAACGGTAAACATGTTTTACTGATCAATTTTATTTTAAATGGATAATTAAGCTGATAAGTGATAACAGAGCAAAACAAAACAGATCATTAATGTTTGAAGCAAAGATGAAAGATGGAACTTCTCAAATGCTAAAAAATATAAAAGTCTCTCAACATTTTGGGCACGCATAGACGAAAAACATTGTCTCTCCTTTGATATATACAGATGAATCTTTTGTAGATACGAACACATGTCGTTGTAATGTCTTATTGCTCTGTGTTTTTTTTAGTGTTTCACGCGTCTTGTGCCGCTAAGAACATATTGAAGTCATCTCTAGCTTTAAGCAGTCGTGGGGTCATACAAGACCGGGGAGAAGACGGACAAGAAACAGAGCTTGTGGTCGAGAATCTGACACGGCGTTGTGGTGACGTCTCATCCGAAACTCTTTGTTGTCTTCTCGACATAGAACTACTTGTCTTTAGAACGCTTCTCAAAGCTAAACCTCCTGTTTCCTTGTTGAACAAGAAACCCGAACTCACTGGTTCTTGCACATCGCCGCCTCCACCGCCACATTTGATCATTTCCACCGGCAGATCGAAGTACAACCGGCGGTTTTCTTGGGTTAGAGCAGTCGTTGAAGCCCATGAGCCACACTCGAATTTCTCGAGAGAGGCACTTAGCGAGACAGAGGAGTTTGAGAAGGATGACGCTTTGATCATTTTCTTCTTTATAGAAGAATCCTCACTTTTTGGTGACCTCAGAGGCTTTTGCTTCCCAAACCCAGGGAGGGATAAACAGAAGGCATTGCACTTAAACTCTTCTTCATCTTCTTGGTAGAGGTTTTTCCCGGGATACCGATATTTTTGCGGAGAAAGCATGGATTCTTGGTGGTTAAGCTTCTTCCGTGGTTTCATCATCGGCTGTGGAAGAACAGGAAGCGGCACAGCTGAGTCTCTAGGTGGAGACATCGTCGGTTGTAACACCATTCTGAAGCTTTCGTCTTTCACCGAAGAGCGGGAGAATCTTGGAGAAACAATGGTTTTCTCGCTCGCCTTCTTCACCACGAAATTGAAATTAGGGTTAGGGTTAGGGGTTTCTCCAGGGAAAACGCTGAGACCCTGCCACTCGTCAGTGCTCCATTTCTGGGTAAAACCATCTTCAAACACAATCAACGCTGGAGGAGACATAGCAAACTCTGAAATCTAAGACACTTGAGATGATGAGTGAAGATCGATGAGATTTTTAGGGTGTGGTTAGAATTCTCCGAATATATATAGATGGGGAACAAGGAGTGGAAAGCACGTCTGTGGCGGCGTGGAGATGTAGTGACAGACATGTTGAGGTTCTAATAAAGGGGTGGTCTCAATAAGAACATACAAGATAATATTTGAATATACCAAACCATGAAGAAAATTAGAGGATAATATTTGAATAATATAAATCAGTGTTTCCAAATTCTGACCCCATACGCTTCTTATCAGTGTTAGGTACGTGGAGGATAAACAAATGAATTGAAAACCTTGACCGAAATATAATAAGAGTATAAGATGATTTGAGAAAAAAAAAAAAAAAAACATGTATCTTTTTTGTTGTTGGATCATTGGATGTTTAGGTTCTTGATGTTGGATCAATAAAGCGTGTACTTTCAAAATTTAATGCTGTTCAATCATAAATTGTAAGAAAATATTAGAAAAAAAAACTAGTAATTACTTGAACTTTTATTTTGGAGACTATCGAAGTCTTGCAAGAACCAAACCTTTTTTCTGAATCATATGGTTCATCTAATTAAAAAAGTTCCCAACGGTAAGGTTTTCAAAGATTTGGGCAGCAACCCACAAAAGCTTGGGAATCAGCACATGTTAAAGAAAGACGTTTAGATCAACTTGAATCCATACTCTCTTTTTCTTTCACCAACGACTCTAGTCTTAATAGATTTCTAGGGTCTAAATGGTAATTGCAGAATGTTGCTGAATGCGGAATCTGGCGAAATTAAATTGTAACTTTTTGCGGAATCTGGCTAAATAGTTAGTATTATGAATGGTAACTGCTGAATGTTGCTGGATGCGGAATATTGCTGAATGCGAAATAAATCTAACAAATTGTTTGTGTAATAGAATAACAAAATATTCATCCAATTAAATTAATAAGATAAATATAAAAATTTACTTGTAAAACAATTAAATATTAGTAAACTCAAATAATTTTAAAATATAGGATTTAAGAATCATAATTTATAATAATTTATTTATTAAACACCAAAGTTAAAAAAAAAATTCAAATTTGTTTATCAATTCAAAAATGAGAACCGTCTCATAATTGCTTTGCTGCTTAATTCTCTCTCATATTGTATTCATATAAATTTTAAGTGGTATAATAATCTAAAAATCTATATTAAATCTTCTTATAGTTGAGTTTATTTTAGTCTAAAATAAGTATTATTTAATATATCATATCATATCCGGATATGTTTTTGTACATTTTTTTATTTTCTGAGTCTGGATTCGTAAATTTATTTTTCGGATCTATAATTTTATTATTAAGATTCAGTTCCAAACACTCTAAAAACCAAATAGTATGAGATGTGGTATCAGATGTCGGACAATTGATTAATTGTCTTACTCTTAAGATTTTTGTGACATTCCACAGTTTTTTATTTTTTGAGAAAAAAAATACCAAATATTAATTAATCTAAATTTCTAAATAATTAAAATTATATTAAAAAAAATTAATCATCAAGTTTTACTTATAACTTTTATTTTGTCACATAAATTAAATTCATTACAGTAAAATAATAATATATAAAGAAAAATTGAAAAGAAAACACATTTTGCCAATTCTTCAACATTCCTCAATATTATTCTTCAATGCCAGAATACAATTTTTGTTGAAAATTTAGATTCTGGGAAATATAAAATTTAATCATTTACTTTATAATAATAAAAACTAGTAATTGTATTAAAAATTACACACAATTATTATTATTTAAAAAATCACATGCTTTTGTTTTTTAGTGATAGATTCTTCAATTCCACATTCCTCAATTCTTCACAATTCTACATAGTTAAGTGGTAACATTTTAAAAATATTCCACAGCATTCCTCAATTCTGCAGCATTCCTCAGGTACCAGTTAGGGCCCTAAATGCTATTTGCTGTATACAAACATATTGGTATATACACTCAGATTTAAACTCGTTTTGCATATAGAACGATGTGGAAAAAAAAAACCCATTAGCGGTTATTAATGTACAAAAATCTTTAGCTATAGGCCATGCATGATATATATGATTAAAACTATGAGATAGAAGCGCGGGAATTTATACTATTGTGTTAATTTTATTGTTTTTCCACAAATTTAGTTTATTTATATTGTTTATTATTGTTTCAAAAATATTACACATATTAATTATAAAAAATTAGGATTAGACAAAATTAACGTACCGTCTTGTCCCATTGTATCCCATTTCGTTCATTTTCATCATGTCCGTTCTTTCTCGTATTATCCGTCCTCCTGTCTGTCCCGTCCCATCCTATCCCATTATGCTCGTTTCCATTTTGTTATGTCCCATCATATTTCTTCCGTTTCTTCTCGCCCGTTCCCTAAATATAATTAAGGATAGACAAAATTCTTGTATAGTCCCATCCCGTCCCATTTCATTCCTTCTCATCTTGTCCCGTTCTTTTCCTGTCCCGTTCCATCATGTCCGTCTTATCGAGTCCCATCATATCCTGTTATATTTTTTTTTTTCCATTTTGTCTTGTCTCTGTCCGGTCCCTAAATATAATTAGGGGTAGGTGAAATTTATGTCCCTTTCTATTGTAAGAGAAGCCTCCTTGAATTTCTCCTTAGAAGTGAAGCTTTCTTGACTTGTGCCTTCTTTACTTGAAATAAAGAAACTCTTTGAACTTTGGGTAGGAGCTTAAGGTTTCTCTCCTCTTCCCTAAATTATATAATCTAACAAAAATAAATTTACTAAATAATAGTTTTTGTAGATCTGTACATAGTCTTTTTCCTTTTTTTTAAAAAGACTTTTCGTATTCTTGTTAAACTTATTATAGTAATGAATGATAATTATTATGAAACTGAAATATTAAAAAGAAAAAATATAATAAATTAAATAAAGTACTGACATGGCAAATTGGAGAATTTAGAAGCAACAAGAAGAGAGAAAAAATGAACTTTATATATATATAGAAATGGCAAACAACATTGGTTTTTGCAAACGACTGTTCCGATGATTATATCTAAACTAGCTGATCTGGATATAAGCTTATGATAACCAAAAAGTTATTTTTGGTTTTTACATTCCATATGCTTTCACATTCCATATTATTTGTTGATTTTGTATGTAATTTGTATCTCGGATTTAGAATATTACAACTATAAAATTGTGGAAGTCCGAGGCTGAACTCGGTTCACATAGAATTCAATATAGAAACAAGTATATTGGAAACTTTCAAGTGGTAGATCCAGAAAACTATTTTCATCATATACAGTATAAACCTCTATAAAGTAATACTCGATAAAGTAATAATCATTATAAGATAATAATTTTTTTCGATCCCAATTCGGGCCAGTGTAAAAATAAGTAAAATGCGATAAGATGATAAGATAATAATATTTTTGAAATTCCTATGTAAAAATATGGTCTCAATTATAAAAATATACATTGTATATGCCTAAGAAATTTTTAAAGTATGAATTTAAGTTTATCTCTAAACTTTTATTATATAAAAAACACATAATATAATTTTTTTAAAATATGTTCTAAGAACATTATTTTCGACTTCATTAGTAGCTATAAATTTTTATAAACATTTAATTTTATCATGTATAAAATTTTATATAAATATTTGTATAAGCAAATAATGTTCTTACAATATAGAGGCAAATAGCTACAATATAGAGGCAAATAGCTACAATTTTATCATGTTCTTACAATATAGAGGCAAATAGCTATGATTCCTACTCCTTGCTTTTTTTACTTTTTCCGTTTCTTTAATTTTTTTTTTGTTTTTTTCCTTAAATTGGTAGATTTGATATTCCTCCCAAAAATGAGAATTATGTCACACATATTTTTACTCATAGCTCATGTGGAGAACATTAATGAATCTTCTTATAGTTTTGTGGAGAATATAATGCATGTTTGGTTAGTTTGTCTAGTTCTTCATTAAAATGTAAATCAAGAAAGGTAAATTATTAAAATTACCTTTGAACCCTTTTGCATAGGCTATATGTATAAATGCTTTCCACCACAAACGGCATATCCAATGATCAGACCGAGAAGATACACATCATTTGTTAGACCTTCATGAGGTTTATGATCGCTTAGTTCCGGAGCAGAAAAGTTGGGCTCACCAACCACATCTGTTTCGCCTGTAAATTTCGCAAGCCTCATATTGTCAAGTTTTAGTATAAACCCATTGAGATTTGGATGATCTGGATTATTTACTATGAAGAAACTTTCTACTGGATGTTTGGATGATCTGTCTGGACAACTATATGTTGAGGAATAAGTCAATCTCCATAATCCATAACTTTTTAACTTACTATGATTCACTGAGGTTCATAATTAATTACTTCTCTTTAGTTTTAGAAATATTGTACCGAAAATTCACTTTTTCTCATAAGGCCCAAAGAATAGATGTCCAAGGGCACTTTTCCAGTAGAATTGAAAAACAGGAAATGAAAAATAGTATCAGATGTGTGGTTGTTGAAATAATTTAGATTATAAAAAGAAAAGAAAATTTAACATAAACAATTAGTTTAAGGAATGACCACACAACTCTTGATAAAAATAAAGTTTTTGGAACAATTTCAATTAATTCCCTAATTGTTGTGTTCTTGAAAGATCTTCGTAGTCCCCATTTTCATTTTGGAATTTTATGAGCCTTTAATTGTTTTTTAAAAATAGGAGATCATTAGATATCTCTAATACATTTTAAAAAATTATTGATTAAAATTAAATTTACTTACATGAATTCTCGAAACTAATTAACCTCCGGTAGATCAAATCATTCTCAAACCTAGAAAGCCCTCCAATTCCAACCAATTCATATTCACCTAATTACACAAACATTTAATTTCAATAAATGTAATTGTAAAGAAATCAAGAGATCTTTGTGTTTAGAATTTTCCAATCCGCTTAAGACACATATTGTCAACATATCATCTACACCTCCATGAGA